CCCTGTGCAAGGCGCGTCAAGGTTCTTCGAGCCATCGCCCCAATTCCTACTAGTCTGGTTCGTTGCGGGGGAACGACACCAACCAGTAGGCGCGGAGAGACCTACTGGGGAAGAACCGAGTTCTGTTGAGCCTCAGGGCGGCATAGGTCAACAAGGCGCAGCCCCGAAGGGCTCCAAGCTCTTGAACACGGCTTGCTGGTCGTTAAGGTGACCGTAAAGGGCTTCGCGAAGCATGAGGAAGACCCTCATCGATTGCGGGGCGTCGGGTATTTTTGCTCGACGCTCCACGATAGAAGGAAGACAGCTGTATGCTGAGGCGCTAAAAACGCGGTTGGGTGACATCGTCACTGTCCGCCTAGCGAAGGGGACAAGTGTCCCGGTCCCGAATGACCCTGTAGACTTCGGAGTCAAGTTCCTTGACTCTGATAGTGTGAAATGCTGTATAGTCTTAGACTTGGATGCAAGGTATGAGCTCATCCAAGGAATGGCATGGTTGGAACACCATGATCCATGGATTGTTTGGAAGTCAAAGGCCTTGAGCGCTACGCGCATGTCTCGTGGTGGAGCTTCGGCGAGTCATGAACCCACCTATGCTGGGTGACAAAAGCGCTATTGGCGAAAGCACTGGACTGAGACGTTCAACATGCTGAACATTGAAATGTCCGAGTTGATACACGCAAACGGTGTATCAGACAGGAGTTCCGAGCGTGGCTCGCGGGCTGAACGTGGAGTGTCACGTAACCCACTGAGCGCTGCTCAAGTTTTGGAGCAGTCGCTGCATGTCATGCGTGGCATGGTCGGCCAGGGGTCGAGGCGTCGAGGGCGAAGCCCCCATGATGCACGTTAAGTGCACGTAAACCACTTAGCGCTGCTCGGGTATCGAAGCAGTCGCTGCAAGTCATGCGTGACATGGTCGGCCAATGGCCGAGGCATCGAGGGCGAGGCCCCCGTGATGCACGTGAAGTGGCACGTAAACCACTGAGCACTGCTCTTGTTGCGAAGCAGTCGCTGCATGTCATTGATCGAGTGGTCGGACAGAGTCCGAGGCATTTTGGGCGCGGCCCTTCAGATGCGTGTGGAGTGGCACGTTATCCACTGGACGAAGACTGCGGGGTTAGCAGCTATTCGTCGGATGTTGTAGATAACATTGGAGCACCAAAGGAGCGGACAGTGAGGGTGACACTGGACGACGCGGAATGCGTGTTCACCCTGG